TCCTCTGGAAAAGAGGGACCATATGCCTGTATTTTGAATAAGCTCCCCACCCAGGGGCTCATTAGTGGAGATCATCCCAGAAGCCCCCTCCAAGGGCTGCTGTGACACCCCACAGCACTGTGATGATCACTCAGTATTTTTCCTTCTTCTTACTGTGACACTTCTCAGATACTTTGTTTGTTCATTTCATTTGGCAATGAATTGGCCAATGGCTATTGAGTACCGAGTAGGTGCCAGGCAATGTGTGAGGCCCTGGGAACTCACCGGTGAAGAAAACAGGCAAATCCCTTGCCCTCCTGGAGCTCCCAACTAGTAGGGTAGGGGTGGGGGTGGGGAACAGGCAATAACAGAGGAAGTAAGGATAATATGACAGAAGTACAGAAAAAACAAAAGCAGATTGTATGATTTTAGATAGGTGGGCCGGGGGCGTTCTCTCTGTGATAGGGACCACATAAGCACATACTCTAAGTAGGTAAAGGTGTGAGCAACATGGATATTTGAAGGAAGAACAAGCCACACAGAAAAGGGTGTGTGCAAAGGCCCCGAGGCAGGAGGGAGGCTGGTGAATAGGAGGAGTACCAAGGAGGCCAGCGTGGACAGCGAAGAGTGGATGGAGGAGGGCAGGAGGGCAGAGAAGTAATGCAGCCAGGTCAAGTGAGTCATGAAGGCTACCGTCAGGACCTCAGCTTTTATTCCAAGGGAGGTGGGAGCCATGGGAGGATCTTGAGCAGAGTAGCAACATGACCTGACTCGGGGTGCAAAGGATCCCTCCAGCTACTGTATAGGGGACAGGCAGCCAGGGAGCCCGACAAGCAGGCACCTGCAAGGGTCTAGGCACAGGATTGGGAGAAGCAGAGGATGGGGTCAGGTGCAAGTCTGGCCTCAAGCTGCTCACAGGGTCCTAGCTGGGGAGAGACCAGAGGCCGCCAGGCTGCAGATCCCAAAGGGGCTCCAACCCAGACTTGAAACAAAAGGAGGAGCTGGGTGTGGGGACTTGCAAACACCCTGGAAGGATCACTGTCCTCATCTCTAAGGGCAGGAAACAGAGACTAAGGGAAGTTGGGTGACTGCCCCAAGGTCACACAGCAGGGAGCAATTGCAACCCAGATCTGATGGGCTCAGGAGCCAGAGCCCTTAACTGATCGGGAGAGTCGGGAGTTGGCTGCGCAGGCCAGGGAGGGCAAACAGAGATGAGAGCTGCCTGTTCCTCCCCAGCCAGGAAAACAACCGTCAGAATCCCCACCTCCCAGAGCCAAGGACACACTGATCGGGCCATCCTCAGGGACATATTCCCAGGAGTGCGTGATGTAACAAAGCCAGGAGGTGGAGATGAGGCCGGCACTTGCTCCAGGTTCCTAGCCAGACTCCACTCCTCTCCTCTCAGGACTTTGGGCTCTGCCCTCACCTTCTTGTTTTAGATAGAGCTGGGCCTCGGTTTGCCCAGGTGTTAATGGAAGAAAACAACTTGAACTTTCCTTCCCTGCTCCCCAAGACCATTTAAAGGAGAACTATGTGGGAGAAGAGAACACTTGTGTCCCATCACCCAGAGCTAGGGACACTGATGCCTTCTTAAGCACTAGAAAATAAAAATGACCATCATTGCTTAAGTGCCCACTACATGCTGGGAACTGCCCTCTTAGCTTTACATCAATTATCAAAGCCTCAGAACAAGTCTGAAAGGTGGCTACTATTAGTTGAAGACACAGAAGCACAGAGAGGTTAGGTGACTTGTTCAACATCACACAGCAAGTTGATGGCAAACGTTGGATTTGAACTTGGCCTGTCTGACTAGGCAGCCTACACTGGGGTCTCACTATTTTGCCCAGGTTGGCTTAAAACTTATGGGCTCAAGTGATCCTTCTGCTTCAGCCTCCCAAGTAGCTGGGATTACAGGTATGTACCACCTTGCCCAGCAATTTTTTACACATTTAAAAACGAAGAGGTACTCAAACAACAAATGTCCATGAATTGATGAATGGATAGACAAAATGTCTATCATAGGATGGAGCATCATTCAGCGTAAAGAGGAATGGAGCACTGTCACATGCTACGGCACGGGTGAACCTTGAAAACGTTACACCACATGAAAGAAGCCGGACACAAATGACCTCACACTGTATGATTCCATTTATATGAAATGACAAGAGCACAGGGCAAAGCCATAGAGAGAATACACATTGGTGGTTGCCAGGAGCTGGGGGGAGGGGAGGATGGGCTTCCTTTGGGATATGAAGAAACTCTAAAATCAATATTCTGTATATGGATGAATTGTACGTTACGTAAATTGTATTTCAATGGAGTTGTTCTTAAAACAAGGATGTGCCCAGACAGAATATCAAAGACAGTGATTTATACTTTGTCTTTCCCCCCCTCTCTGGTCTTTATATGGTCAGCTTTCTTTTTTTTTTTAATTAAATCATAGTTGTGTACATTAATACTTTCACGGGGTACAGTGTATTGTTTCCATATACAATTTGAAATACTTTCATCCAATTGGCCAACATAGCCTTCATGTCATTCTCATAGTTGTTGTGTTAAGACATTTATATTCCACATTTAGAAAGATTCACATGTACCCTTATGGGATAAATCATAGGCGTGATCCTAGCAATCACCCTCCCTCCACTCATCCTCCCCTCTCCCCTCCTCTCCCTCTTCCCTTGTACCAGAATGTTCATTGCAGCCCAATTCATAATTGCTAGGTCATGGAAGAAGCCCAAGTGCCCATTGACCCATGAATGGATCAATAAATTGTGGGATGTGTACACCATGGAATACTATGCAGCCATAAAGAAAGATGGAGACTTTACCTCCTTCATGTTTACATAGATGGAGCTAGAAAATGTTCTTCTTAGCAAATTATCTCAAGAATGGAAGAAAAAGTATCCAATGTACTCAACCCTATTATATGGTCAGCTTTCTTAATTTGTGTTGTGTTTTTCAAATCACAACATTGATATATTTTGGTTGACACAAATGGAACAATGCAGAAGATGCCCCCAAAGTGTGTACACATTTTAAGAAAGGAAAAAACTGTGTTAAAATTCTACCAATGTATATATTGATAACAAAAGATTAATACAAGTCACGTTGAGCACCTCTTGTAATTGCAGAAGTCAAACGTGCCTTGAGTGTTACAAATTTAATATCGTTTTTTCCTTGCTTGAATTGTGTATACTTTTTTTTGGCACCATCTGTATATAGAGCTCTAAAGCATTGTGTATACTTTTTTTTGGCACCATCTGTATATAGAGCTCTTGTCCCTGGCACTTGCAAACCTCCCCTGTTTGCAATCATGGCATTAGATTATAAATTAACTCAACAGGATAAGACTCCCTGACTGCGTGGATGCCCTTGTGTGGAGATACCATCCAAAGGCTAAATCTAGGACCTCTGAATGTGGCCAGGATGGCAAGATTGGCCCCAACCCCTCTTAACCCTCTCCATTGCCTGTGTCTACAAATAATTCAGAAAGCCTGAGTTCGTTTTTCATCACTTCCACTTGCCGCCTGGTGCTCCCCAGAAGCTCCACTCAACCTCTGAGCCTGTTTCCTCACCTGTAATGTGGGACCCCACATGCCCATTCCCCAGATATCTGGGGCTTAAATGAGTCCCACCCACCCAGGGGACACACAGCATGGGATCAGTTACCAGCAGGTACTCCAGCCGTGTGTATGCCAACTGTATACACTCAGATACACACAAGGGAGGCTCCATCCACGTCTGAGATTCACAATCCCCACATCTCCTGGCTTTGCCATTCCATGTCCCCAATGCACATGTCCCAATGCACATATGAAAGAAGTGACCTAGTCCACTGGGGAGGAGTCATGGGAGCTCTGTGGAAGGTCAGGGAGGACAGCTGGATGGGACAGTTTGTCCTACAGGGTGGGATTGCTATGCAGGCTGTTTGTGCACTGGCTTTCCTCTGTCTCATTGATATTCTTGTCCAGGCCAGCCTGACAAGTCAGCTTTGTTGAGGGGGCCATGAAGAAAGCTGCTGGGCGTGTGTGTGTGTGTGTGTGTGTGTGTGTGTGAGAGAGAGAGAGAGAGAAAATCATCCTTGTGGACAGACAAGGAGGGGACAAGATAGACATTTTTCGGCTGAAAGACCTTCCAGTTCTGCATGATGATGATAGTGACGATTGTGGTGATGATGATGACTACTAATACTGAACACTCACCCAGTACCAGGCTCCTCATACACATACATCATCACTATGTCATCTAAGCCTAGGAGGGAGGTACCATTATCAACCCATTTTACAGATGAGCAAACTGAGGCTCCAGGAGGCCACTTGCTGATTGCCACACAGCTAATAAACAACACAGCCAAGATTTGAATCTTGGCCCCCTGGGTCTTACCTACTTGACCCTCCATGCCAAAAGGTCATAAATGGATGACAGGGGAAAGTAATAAAGGAAGGCAATACACAACTATGTTTGGATTATAGGTTTGGGAGTCAGATTTCTGGATTCCAAGACCGGCTCCTCTCTCTTACTGCCTGAGTGGTCTTGGGCAAGTGACAACCTTGGCTATCTCAGCTTCTCTTTCTGCAAAATAGGGATGATAACAATATCCACCTCCTGTGAGGTTTGGCACTTGCTCGGGGCTCAGTGACTGTTAACCATTCTGGCTATATTATTGTCTGGGAACCTACCACATGCAAGCACACGCTAGCAGCTTTTAGTGCATTATCACCCGTGCTCTTCATGCACTCCTCCTACTGGTCCTATGGAAACAGGTATTGTCCTCATCTGCAAATGAAGAAACTGAGGATGGGAAAAGGAATGTGGAAAGAAGGGAGAGGAGAGGGTCGTGGGAAAGACAAAATGTTGCCAGAGAGAAAAAAGCTCAGCCAGCTTCACCCTCCCCTCTGGAAGCCCCGGGCCAGGGGGCGGGTCCCGGAGGAGGCGTGGCCGGCGTTGGGGTCCCATTGGCTGCCCAGAGTCGCTAGGGGAATAAAGCTCCCGGTTCAGTGGTCCCCAGTACCATTCAGCAGACAGCCCACTGTGTCCCTCAGACTCTCCGTGGGATCCCGCCTTCCCTTGCTCACTCTGTCCGGCCGCCCAGCTCCATCGACTTTGCCCAGTAAGTGGCCTCATCCTCTGCTTCGCCCAGAGACTGGAGTGCCTTTGGCTAACTCCATGGTTTTTCAGGGGTAGAGGGAGAGACAGAAAGAGTCATAAAAACCCATATTTTGGAGCCAGACTGGCTGAGTTCCCGTCCAGTTCTGTGCCTCAGTTTCCTCATCTTTAAAATGGGGGATAATAGTAGAACCTTCTTCCTGTGGTGATTGTGAGGGTGGAATAAGATGTGCACTTAAAGTGCCCAGTTCAGATGGTTCGTATTTACTGAGCACTTAGTATAAGCCAAGTTGAGAGAAGAGACTGCCGTCCACGGGCGCTGCTCAGGTGCCCTCCCTTCTCGGTGCCTGGCATAACCTCTTGCGAAGTCATGTATTTAAGCAGGGTAGGATGGGTCTGGCAGGCTGAGAGGGGTTTACGCATGCCCTCTACATGCAGCCCCAGCAGAGGGTGGGGGACCTTCAAGGGGAACCCCTTACCAAAGCATCCAATGGCACAAGCTGAGACAGGTTGTGGGAGGTGCTTCTCAAATCCACCTAAAGGGTCCCCAACCAGGAGGGCTCCCTGAGGTCAGGGCTTTAATGTCAGTCAGGGATGGCATTTGGGGGGGGGGGGGTTGGTAACCTCCAGGAGATGAAAGTTGATTGAAACAGATTTGGGGATGCCTCTGCTGTGGAGTGTCCCTGTCTCTGACTTTTATTGAAGAGATCTAAGTGAGGTGAGTGTTTAAATGGCCCCCCCAGCTGTTAGCTAACTCCGATAGATATAAGCTACCCCTGTTTGGGAGGTGCTAAGGCTGGTGCAGTGGTAGGGGTGTCCACCCCTCACTTTTCATCCGACCAAGGAGTATCTGGGCCAGTCTAGAAGGTGTATCTGAGCCACCCATGCCCAGGTTGGGGGACTGGACCAGGCAGTGTCATTGGAGATGGGGACACTGGCTGGCAACTCTCTTGTCTTCTCGGATAGTGGAGGAAGGAGGAATGAAATAGTCTCTCCTGGCTCAGTCATGTTGGGGAGAATGAAATCTCCCCTGGGATTCTGTCTTCTTCAGAGGATCTACTAAGTGTAGAGTATAAATGTCTTAACACAATAATTAAGAAAGTGTGTGGGTGGCACCTGTGGCTCAGTGAGTAGGGCGCCGGCCCCATATACTGAATGTGGCAGGTTCTAACCCGGCCCCGGCCAAACTGCAACAATAACATAGCTGGGCGTTGTGGTGGGCGCCTGTAGTCCCAGCTACTTGGGAGGCAGAGGCAAGAGAATTGCCTAAGCCCAAGAGCTAGAGGCTGCTGTGAGCTGTGACAACAAGGCACTCTACTGAGGGTGACAAAGTGAGACTCTGTCTCTAAAAGAAAAGAAAAGAAAGTGTAGCGAGGGCTATGTTGACCAGTTTGTTGTATTTCAAATTGTATATAAAACCAGCACATTGTACTTCATGAATGCATTGATGTACATAGCTATGATTTAATTAAAAAAAGAAAAGAAAAGGCTGGGTGGGCAGATGTGTCTGTAGCCAGACTCGGAGCCACTTCAACTGCTTCATCACCCACAGCCTGTCCATAAGGGGGAGCCCAAGCCACACCCATGGGCCCTGCAGGGAACCTGGGCCCTGGAGCCTATTGCCTGAGTTCAATCCTGCCTCCCCCACTTGCCAGCAGCGTTACTTTGTACAAGTCATGTTAATATTCTAGTTCCTATTGCTGTATAGTAAACGACCCCCCAAAATAGTTATGTTGACTTAAAACAGCAGCAGTTATTTGGGGGTTCAACTGGGCTCAGGGAGGCAGTTCTCACTCGGGATGTCTCATATGGCTGTACTGTGACAGTGGCCAAACTCAGGTCCTCTCAAAGCCTTCCTCCTTCTGGTGTGTGGCACTTGATGCTGGCTGCCAACTGGTACCTCAGCAAAGCTGTCAGACAGGACATATCCATGTGGCCCCCAACATGGTAGGAGTTGCCCAAAGGAGGAGACCAGGTGGAGGCTGTGTCACCTTTTCTGACCCAGCGTTGAGAGCAGGGGTGTGATAGAACAGGGCCATGAAGGCTCCAGGGAGCAGGTCATGCCCATCTCTTCCCAGCTGCTCTCTGGTAGTCTGGCACTGACCCTAGTAAGTACACGCACATCGTGGAAACTGGCACATGCTATGAATCAGGGCTTTCCTTTCCTTTGGAGAGTTGATCACTAAACACTTACCAGCACACCGCTGCTTGGAAGTCACATAGTGCCACTTCCACTGCAGTTACAGGAGCTCAGGGTTCAAGGAGGAAAACCTAGGCTCCACCTCTCATTGAGAAAAGCAACACTGGGCTTGGCCCCTGTAGCTCAGCAGTTAGGGCGGTGGGCACATACACCAGAGCTGGCAGGTTCGAACCTGACCTTGGCCTGCTAAACAACAATGACAACTGCAACAAAAAAATAGACAGTTGTTGTGGCAGGGCCTGTAGTCCCAGCTACTTGGGAGGCTAAGGCAAGAGAATCTCTTAAACCCAAGAGTTTAAGGTTGCTGTGAGCTGTGGCGTCATGGCACTCTACCAAGGGCAACATAGTGGAACTCTGTCTCAAAAAAAAAAGCCACACTGCATTGTGAGAAGTGTGTGTGACACAGATGAGCTCAATGTGGCCACCCTGCAAGTGCAGCCTGAGCCTGTTTCCCCATCAGCCACATCCTAGGATTATGAGGAGGAGTAAATGAATTAACAGCCGTAAAACTTCACCTTGTGGAACTTGTCCCAGTTAGATGCTGGGCTTTCCTAAGTTAGTTTTTTCTCTCTCTTTTTATACATTTTTTTCTTTTTTTTTTTTTATTGAATGATAACTATGTACATTAATGCACTTCTGGGATACAGTGTTAGTTTTTTCTGTCTTTTTATTCATTTTTTTCTTTTTTTTTTTTATCGAATGGTAACTATGTACATTAATGCACTTCTGGGATACAGTGTGGGGTTTTCACACACAATCCGAAACACTTCCATCAAACTGGTTAACATAGCCTTCATGTCATTTTCTTAGTTATGATTTTAAAACGTTCACATTCTATCATTTTTTTCTTTTTTCAAAACTTTTCTTTTTTTTTTTTTTTGGAGATAAAGTCTCCTTGTGCTGCCCAGGCTAGAGCACCATGGCATCAGCCCAGTTCACGGTAACATCAAACTCCTGGGCTCAAGTGATCATCCCGCCTCAGCCTTCCGAGTAGCTAGGACTACAGGTGCCCACCATCCTAGGTTAGTTTTTAAAGAGTACTTTAAATAAGTAACATAAGCACATGGTAAAACATTCAAACAGCACAACAGGTGTGCTACAAATCCAGGTGCAGCTCTCCCCAGAGGCCTCTGCCCTGACCAGTTTTGTGTTTCCTGAGATGTTCTGTGCACGTGAACATTTGTGGATGTATGTGTGCTGCGTCCTTGCATTTTTTACATAAGTAGACTATTCCCAATTATTCCCAGTCTCCTGCCTTTGCTTAACCATCTTTAATTCACTCTGAATCAGCTCATACAAATCCACCTCTGCCTCCTGATTTTTGAAAGCTTCAAGGTCTGAATATGATTTCAGCATGATGTGTAAGGTGTGCAGGAGTCGGGGGGCGGGGGGACAATCCTTCTCCCAATTTTACAGACAAGAGAGCTGAGGCTGTGGGGTGGGGGGATTACCTGTCTGATGTCACATGGTGAGTACGTGGCCCACTTGAGATTTCAACCCAGGTCTCTAAGATGCTGTCTGGGAAGTGAAGGAAGGGGTCACACTGTCCTCTGGAAGGCACTAGGGCCAGCTCTCCCGACCCTCTGGGTTTCTTTCCTTTCTTCCAGAAATGACATCAGGAGAACCCCTGCATGTGAAGACGCCCATCCGTGACAGCATGGCCCTGTCGAAAGTGGCAGGCACCAGTGTCTACCTCAAGATGGACAGTGCCCAGCCCTCTGGCTCCTTCAAGATCCGAGGCATCGGGCACCTCTGCAAAATGGTACAAGACAGGGTCTGCATCATCCAGGCGGCGGGTGGCGGTAACAAGTCCTCCTTCCAGGAATTCCAGGGTAGGCCACTAAGTGTCCTCCACTAGGGTCTCCCAGGTTAAGGGGCACCCGTCTGGGATCTATGGACCAATCCCAGAGCCATCAGATGCTTCTTCCTCATGTTTCCCTGAGCCAGTCATTTTGGAGAGGGAAGATACAGTCTGAGTCTAGGGCAGACCAAATTCTGAATGAAGGAGGAAGAGGTCAGGGTCAGTCAGAATCACTGGAAGATGTTCCAGGTGGGAGGGAAGGAGCCAGGCAGGGGCTGGGAGGGGGCCTGATCTTCCCCTCTTGTCTCTGCAGTGGGCTGAGCAAGGCTGTGAACACTTTGTCTGCTCCTCAGGTAAGTACCCTCTCCCTACTCCCACCCTCTGCCGTGTGTCCCAGACCAGGCCCTCCAACTCTCTCCAACCCTCTCTCATCTCCCAGCGATGGGCCATTGCAAACATTTGTGGAAGTCCCCAGTCTGGAATTCTAGGGGGAGGCCAGTGTTCACCTTGGATTAGAGGAGAATCCAGAGCCCCATGTTGCTCCCAGACCCTGCCTCATAGACATTCTCCACTCCTACCCCTGGCAGCGGGCAACGCAGGCATGGCGGCTGCATATGCTGCCAGAAGACTGGGCATCCCTGCCACCATCGTCGTGCCCAACACCACACCTGTGCTCACTATTGAGCGACTCAAGAATGAAGGCTCCACAGTCAAGGTGGTGGGTGAGGTGAGTGTTGACCCAGGGCAGGAGCCACAGAGGGCACCTGGTGGCCGGACAGAGTCTCCCCAGGGCCTCACCCCTCCTGTCTCCCTGGTTCACTTACAGACGTTGGATGAAGCCTTCGAGCTGGCCAAAGCCCTGGCAAAGAACAACCCAGGCTGGGTCTACGTTCCCCCTTTTGATGACCCCCTCATCTGGTACGTGGAGTTCAGGATCACCTGGTGTGGGTGGCAGCCACCCCTTCATCACTGGGCCCCATCATCATGCCCAGCAGCTGCACATGTGTGTACACAGACCCTCCCACTGGGGCGGACACCATCAAGTACAAGTGTGAGTGCACACACACAGAGACACCACACAGGTAGACAGACGCATGTGCACCAAATGCCTGTTGTCTATGGCTCAGCACACAGAACATATCCAAGAGCAAACACACGGGCCTGGAGCAGTGGCTCACACCTGTAATCTCAGCACTCTGGGAGGCTGAGGTGGGAGGATCCCTTGAGCTCAGAGCAAGAGTGAGACCCCATCTCTACTAAGAATAGAAAAATTAGTTGAGTGTCATGACCGGCATCTGTAGTCCCAGATACTCAGGAGGTTGAGGCAGGAGGGTCACTTGAGCCCATCAGCTGTCTGGGATAAAGTCAAGTGCAAACTTGAGCTGGTGTGTCCTGGGCCCCTGCCTGGTGTCTCCAGGAAGCCCATCCCTGACCTGCTGCCCTCTCCCATCCTCTCTAGGGAAGGCCATACTTCCATTGTGAAGGAGCTGAAGGAGACCCTGAGTGCAAAGCCAGGGGCCATCGTGCTGTCAGTGGGTGGCGGGGGTCTGCTGTGCGGAGTGGTCCAGGGGCTGCAGGAGGTGGGCTGGGGGGATGTGCCCGTCATCGCCATGGAGACCTTCGGTGCCCACAGCTTCCATGCAGCGACTGCAGCGGGCAAGCTTGTTTCCCTGCCCAACATTACCAGGTGAGCAGCTGGGGTGCCTCCCCCGAGTGCCCAGCAAGAATGGGGGATACATGTACCCCTCAGTTCTGGCTTCAAGGTAGATACTCACTTTACAGGTGAGGAAACTGAGACTTTGGTCATTTGCCCAGAGTCACACAGTGAGTGGTACAATGGGCACCCAAACCCAATCTATTGACTGTGGTGACTGTGTACCATGTCACACTTCCTTGCACAAAAGTCTAATATTGATATTTACTAAACACAGCTCTTGTTCCCAAGGAGTTCATATCACAGTCCCAAACTATTGACAGATGGTGTTTAATCACACAAAGCTCAAAATAACAATGGCTTAAGCAGGATTGAACTTTATTTCTGTCATATAAGAATAAAATCTAGAGATGGATAGTCCAGGAGCAAATCCATGAAGCAGGGTCCCAGGACCCTTGAGTTTGTTGCCCTACCATCCTTAGCATGTGGCCTTATGGTCCAAAAGGGCTGCCTGAGTGCCAACTATCACACCCACATCCCATCTCACAAGAAGAAAGGAAGGAGAGAAGGCTATGCTCCATCCTTTAAAGATAGACACAGACACACTTCCACTTACCTCTCACTGGCCAGAACTTAGTTACGTGACCACACCTAGCTGTGAGGCCACAATATGTCTTTATACCAAAAGTTTATGTGTGCAGCTAGAAGGGATGTTCTGGCAGATAAGACTCTCTGATGTAGATAGGGAGAAGACTGAGTCCACTTAAGAACTTCTGGATTCCTGAGCCCAGTACTGGAGCTGCTGTGTTGGCCTCTGCTCCCACTCTAGAGACCAAAGAAGCCCTGGCAGAGTGCCTACTGTGAGCCATGGTGCTGCCTAAGGGCTGAGAGGGCCCAGGCCCTCAAGATGCTCATGGATGAAGAGGCGAAGTGAGAGGGAGTTGAGCCAGGAATAGGACCAGTGGTCAGTCAGGGAAGTTGGGGACAGTATCAGATGTTGGTTATCAGTGCAGGTGCTAGACTTATGCAGATCCTATTCCCAGAGCCAGTGCCACCACTCCCTAGGCATGTGACCTTGGGCAAGTACATTCTCTGCCTCTGTTTCCCCTTCTATAAAATGGAACCAGTTGATAACAGCAAAAGTTGTGACAATTAAATCATGTTTGTGGAATGCTTGGCACCTAACACTTTCTCAAGAAGTCCTACGTTTGAGAATTCCACACAGAGCCATGGGGCTGAGTAGTCTCCCTGGAGGACTCCTTGGAGGAAGTGGCCTTATTCCTGGGCCTTCAGGGACAGGGCAGGATGTGGGCAGGAAGAATGGTGCTAAGCTTAGTGAGAGTTAGCCAGGTGGGGGTCACCACCTAGAGCAAAGACTGGAGCTGGGAAGTCCTAGCAGACAAAAGGTCCTTTTAGACATTCACTCCTGATTCATTGTTGAACTGAATAGGATGCTATTTACTCCCAATTCAAACTGTGCCTTATTAGAAGACCACCCCCCCACCCCAGCTTGAAGAGCCCCTGGGGCTTCTCAGCACTGTGCAGCTCAGAGGTTACGCCCACTGGGTCTCTGCCTCCTCTTCTCTCTCCTGTTTCTTCCATCTCCATGTCCTTCTCTGTCCCCATCTCTCGTAGTGTTGCCAAGGCACTGGGTGTGAAGACCGTGGCAGCTCAGGCCCTGAAGCTTTCTCAGGAACACCCCATTTTCCCCGAAGTTATCTCAGACCAGGAGGCTGTGGCTGCCGTTGAGAAGTTTGTGGGTAGGTACCAAATCCTCTCAAGAGCTAGATGCTGGCTGTCCACTTGGTGTGTCAAGGGATCCCACGCACTCCAAATTTTCTTCACAATTCTATCTTCCATTCCTGCCTAGTACAGCCCATTAATGGAAGATACTATTATACAATACGATGTAAAAATAGAAGTGAAAGCCACAGTGGAGAAGCCTGATAACCACGGCATTAGGGAACACTAACGGAATATTTAAAACGTTGATTCACTTCCTGGTAGCCAGGGTAAAAAAGAAGAAAAACATAGGACTCAAGAGTTGGACTCAGAGGTGGGTCTGTAACTAAGTTGGACTCTTTCTAGGTTCAGCCTAGAGGACAGGGATGACAGAAGGAAAAACAAAATCCCGGCATAGTGGCTCATGCCTGTAATCCCAACACTTTGGGAGGCCGAGAAGAGAGGATCGGTTGAGGCCAGGAGTTCAAGACCAGCTTCAGCAACATAGCAAGACTCTGTCTCTAAAAAAAAAAATTACTTTAATTAGCCAGGTGTGGTGGTACATGCCCGTATTCCCAGATACTTGGGAGGCTGAGACAGGAGGATCTCTTGAGCCCAGGAGTTTGGGGTTATAATGCACCACTGCAACCCAGCCTGGGCTACAGAGACTCTGTCACTAAATTAAAAAAAAAAAAAAAAGTAGCATTTATTCTGCCATTTAATTCTCCTGTATCTGCAGCTAACTCAGTTACCCAACAGCATTCTTACTCAGATGATGCCTCAGAATCAAAACAGCACTCAGGCAATCATGATCATTTTACCAGTGTTAGCATTCATATGCCCCAGGCCCTGGCTCAGGCTTAGAAGGTCCCACCTAGGGTGACCATGAGAGGTTTGGACTACGACCTGAGCCTGTGACTAGGGCTGAGAGCATTCCCTAGCCCTGCCAATGGCTTGTCTGGGGACACAGGCCACACCCTTGCCATGCCCCTTCTCTGGCAGATGATGAGAAGATCCTGGTGGAGCCTGCCTGCGGAGCGGCCCTGGCCGCTGTCTACAGCCGCGTGGTGCAGAAGCTGCAAGGGGAGGGGAAGCTCCAAGTCCCCCTGCGGTCACTAGTGGTCATCGTCTGTGGGGGCAGCAACATCAGCCTGGCCCAGCTGCGGGCCCTCAAGGAACAGCTGGGCATGAAGAATGGGCTGCCCAAGTGAGGACGCTCACCCACGTGTCCTCTCCTAGCCCAGGAGACCCCTGGAGGGGCTGGAGTTTTATCCAGCACCTCACTGTAAATATTCTTGTTTGGTTGTGAGCCTGAGGCCCCTGGACTGGCAGGTTAGCTTCTTGTTGTCATAAGGCCACTGTGCAGAGGGGCTGGAAGGTCAGGGGCCAGTGAGGCTGAGATGGGGCTCTTCGGCATCTCTGTGACCGCTCTGTGCTGTCCTTGGCTACTCTGCTGGAATGATAACTGCCCACAAATATGCCAGGTCCCCAGAACTGGGTGGGTGTGGTAGCCCCATCCCAGCCTTTCCCCTGGCGAGGTGGACAGAACCTCAATCCAGGGTTGAAGAACTATCCTGTCCTTCCTTCCAAGAAGCCAAATCCCCACCTTTACTTGTTTTTCTAAGATGTAATCTTTTTCACTGAAAATTATGTATTTATGAAACCAAGAATCTTTTTCTCTGAGTTTTTCCATTAGCAGCTGTCTTCCGCCCTCCGCTCCTCCCACCCCACCAAGCCTGCTCTCAGCCCAGCTCTTAACTGTGGGCACACCTCACTCACCCCACTCACCCACACCCCACAGCAAAGCCAGGGCCCAGACTCCAGCTGGGCTTGTGTGCCGGGAGGGGACATTCTCAAACCACAGGGAGCAGGTGGCTAAACAAGAGGGACTCTGGGTGGGACAGAAGCTGCCTCTGTTGCAGGCAGGTGAGGCTGATCTCATTGTGATGAGAAGGCCTTCCTGTGAGTCAAAATGATTTCACCACAGATCCACGGAGGGGGGAGGTGCAAACTGACATTGGACACACACCTCTGGGACAGGGAAGGGGTGGGAGACTTGAGGTCAAGGTCACGCAAACCTTCTTAAAATATGGAACCTTCTCTTCCAACTAAAGCAGAAGCTGGAGGCCCAGTATAAGAGACAAAGGGGAATTGCAGGGGCTGACTCAAGGGCATGGAGAGAACCCACACACACATACCAACCACCACTCCGGAATGTCCCCTCACCTCCTATAGCAGTTTCTAGGATGCTTTGGAGGGGACCCCAAGTTCAAAGTGAAGTTTAAGAACTTCAGGCCCCTACCCCCCTATAAATGCCAGGGCTGCAAAGTTTCAAAAACAGAGTGGGAAACCCATCCCAAAGCCACTCGGAGGCAGGCCGATCTGCGTCCCACTCAGGAGGGGCAGCACATGCACCTTAAGAACCTGGGGTCAGTGACATGAGGGAGGGCTGGTAGAGACAGAGAATCAAGTCACCCCCAGAACCCCAGATTGCTTCCGGAGGGGAGGAACTGTGAGGCTGAAATAGTTCAGGAACATCTGTTGGGAATAGGATTGCTTCTGGTTTCCACTGTCCCCACCTGAGCCAAGCATGAAACCCCCCAAAGGGGCAAGGCACACAGACACCCCTGCCTGCTAGGGAGGTGCCGCAGCACTGGAGGTTGGGGCAGACTAGTGGCCAGAGCCTTGGCCTTTAGGGGAGTGCAGACCCACAGATGGGCCTGCAGCTGCCACCTCAAAGCTAACGATTGTGGGAAACTCCCAGCACCCAGAGGCCAAGTGCAGCTGCCCCCGTAATGTGGGTCGGCTGAAGCCCCAGTGTGGGCAAAACTGCACGAACCTCCCACACTCTGCTCAGTGTCAGCCTGGCTTCATTGACCAATCCCACCTCCCAAGACACTGAAAGAGAGGCCAGAAACCTTCTAGGGAATAACTAGAACAACTGAACACTGAACTAAAGTGACCCCAGGCAAGTTCCACCACCCTGAGCCTCCGCTTGCTCTTCTGTCAAATCCACAGGACAGTACACCACAGATGTGGTCCCTGTTCCACCTGCACTGTCACAAGATGGGGCAGGAGGGCTGGGCCCAGGTCTGGAGACTTCAGGCACATCACCATTCCCTCCCCACACCAGCTTCCTTCTGTGAAAAACACAAGTGAAGATCCCAGCCTCTCCCTCCTAACAGGGCTGTCACCAGAACACTGAGACATGGGGCATGAAAATGCTCTCTAGGGAGTTGGGAAATGCACTGGCAGGAAGTTAAGTTTTTAGAACCACAAGTTGTCAGTTCCCAGATGGCAGGGGCTGTGAAGATACAGCGAGGAGAAAACGCAAATCCAACCCTGGCCTCCAACTGTGCTTAATTTTCTCCACAGCACTTATCAGCACGTTATAGCTGCACGTTTATTTATTTTGTTTGCTTTCTCCCCAAGGCGAACTTCTGGGGAGAACGGAGTCTTTGTACCTTTTCTTACAAGGTACCCTGGGGCCTCCTAACAGCACCTGGTATGAACTAGGAGCTCAGTCAGTATGTGTCGAGGAACGAATGATAGTGTGTGAGGCCCCACAGGGGCTGCAACACACTCCCCAGGGAAATGCTGTTCATCATTACCCCATTGTACAGAAGAAGCAATCAAGGCTCAGAGACATTGAGTCCACAGCTAGTAAGATGTGGAGACATGACTCAAACCCAGTGCTTTCCACTCCCCAAAAGTACACAGGACTGGGAGAGTATGCATGAGAGCAGGCAGAAAGGGAGTCTGTTTGTGTGGGTCCACCTCCCAGTACCATACAGGAGGGTGGTGATGGTTAACAGAGCCCCAGAGGAGGACCCAGAACACCTGGATGGATGGAGAGCTGGACAGATGAATGGATACGGATGGATGGACGAAAAATGAATAGATAGGTAGATGTAGATGGACGAGTGGAGGTGTGTAGATGGAGGAATGGGTGCGTAGATGGATGGATGGGTGGACAAATAGGTGGATGGACAGAAGTTAGGTGGGTGGATGGATGGATGGATGAGTGATAAATGAGTGAACAGGTGCATGGATGGATGTTGGATGAGTAGAGAGGTGGATGCATGGAAGATAGGTGGACAGGTGGATATAGATGGGTGGGAGGCTGTACAGATGGACAGTGGGGAAGTGGGCTGGCAGGTGAGTGAATGGATAGGACAGACAGAAGCTGTACATGGTGCAGAACCCAAACCTGAGAGGAGGAAAGGTGCCGCCCCCACCTTCCCCACTGCCCCAAGAAGCACAGCACAGGGGCCACAGCCTCTCTTCTTTAATGGTGGCCTATGGTTTGTGTCCCCATGCAGGGGAGCTGAAGCTCGGGACAGGCCCAGGCTGGAGTGGGGTGGGGGCACAAGGCAGGAACGTGGGGGCTGACATTCTCACCTGCCCTAGAGAGAGGACACTCACGACCCTCCAGCCACATGTGGCCAGAGACTTTGGTTTTGGTTTGTTTTCAAGTTTCTGTCCTCCAGGAAACTGCCCAGAGAGGGAGACGAGGGGGCTGCTTCCTGGAGGAGCAGAGGGGCTAGGAGGAGCAACACTGAACAGAGATGATGCCCAGGACCTGGGGCTGAAACCTCACCAGTCCCACTGCCACCAGTGAGAACCAGGCTGGGAGGCAGCGACTGGAACAGCCCCTCCTGCCCACAGAAGGGTCTCAGAGCCTAATGCCAGGCTCCTCCCAAGCTCTGAAGGGAGCAAAACAGAGATAGAAGCAGCAGAGAGACAGAAACCCAGGGAGGCAGAGGAGCCAGGTGCCGCTTGTCCACTTCAAGGGACAGGGAGAGCCAGTCAGAGCTGGTCAGGCCCCCTGCCCTGCCCTTCAGGAGACGACCCAGAGAATGATCCTGGCAGATCCTGTCCCAGCTCAGTGCACAACAGGGGCCAAACCCCCTTCTCAGGGGTGGGGCAGAGGTCGGGCTGGCAGCAGGTGGTCCCCCGAGGATCAGCAGGGGTGAAGGCAGCAGAGTGGGCTGGAGCCTCAGTCCCACCACACCTCTATCGGCAAGAACTTCCAGAGGTCGGGGTGGCCCATGTGTAAAAGGCTGCTGAAGGGCGAAGTGCTCCACTGGAAGGGGGGCACCTGGTCCCACGTGGGGCCGCTGACCGCCAGTAAGCTCAGAGCCTTGGCCAAAGACATGCTGGTCACCTGCGGGCCGGAGCAGAGCAAAGGCTGAGCCTGGGCCCTGGGCCCCCACCAGCCTTCACCCCAGAGCCCAGTTCTGAACCTGGTCCCAAACCAGACCATCACCTTGACTTTGACCCCAATCATAGCCCAGCTTTGACTCAGCCTTCCCGGCCCCTCCACCCCATCCTTCTCCCTGGGGTGGGGGAGCACCTTCACATCGATGCCCCCATGGGAGCGCTGGCACAGGGCTGAGAAAGGGTAGGAGCCGTTGGCCGGGTTGAGGTCGGAGCGGGCTGAGATGGCATTCTCCCCATTGGGCTGAGGGTCACAGGCCTGGCACAGTGACAGGGGGTCGTGGAGGAAATCATTGTACCTGGATAGGGAGGAAGAAGAAACAACTGCCACACTGGGAAAGGGAGGCTAAAGATGGGGCCAATGCCTCATGGTGGCAGCCCCAAGCCACAGCCGCAGGTCTTCGACTTGCCCAGCCCCTCCTGTCACTAGCTGTCAATTGTGCCAGCTCCTTTGCCTGGGTCATCACCCCTAGCCTAGTTAGCCACTTATCACTCAACTCTCTGCTCCGATACCCCTTCCTTCCTCAGGGAAGCTTCTATGCCCCCCACCCAAACCAGGTGAGGCGCCCACGTGCCCCTTGCTGTGTTTCCTGAGTATCTACACTGGTGTGTACTCGTGGTGGGTTTCTGCACCTCCCAGAGGCAGGATGCTCCCCAGGACAGTGGAGCACAGCTTTTGTGCCTGTCGCCCCAGCACCAAGCACAGAGCCCAGCACAGGTGGTTGTGTGACAGATGTTCAGGGCCCTCCCACTCCCTGCTGACCCCCCAGGGCTGACTGTGAAGTCTGAGCAGGTTGGTACAGTGAAGTGCACAGATACAGTTCTGCATGACTCTCGGCTCATCCTCCACCAGCTGCCACCCAGCCATCACCTACCTCATCAGCTGGATCATGGAGTCTGTGTCGTGCACCAGCGACTGGTTCCGCCGGAAGATCTGGGCCCGGGGGCTCCCGTCATAAGAAAACCAGTCCCCATACTCAGCCACCAGGTCCTGCAGTCCACTGGCATTGAACACAGTCTCAAAGGACCTGCCGGGGACAAGAACCATCACACACAATGGCCTCATCCTGCTGTTGCCACACTGTCACCAAGAACTAAGACAGTCAGGAGAACAGGAGTTCTCAGGAGTCCCTGAGTGCAGCCACCACCCTGTTGTGGGTGCAGGAACTGGGAAGTCACACAAATTCTAACCTAAGCCACACAACTATACCACAACACTCTCAGGGTTTTCCAGGCCAGAGGAGGGGGCAGGATGGGGTTTCTGTGCTCTGTGGGTTTAATAATATCACTGAGGGGGCTCGGCGCCCGTAGCACAGTGGTTACAGCGCCAGCCACATACACCGAGGGTGGCGGGTTCATATCCAGCCCAGGCCAGCTAAACAATTGCAACAAAAAAATAGCCAGGCACTGTGGTGGGTGCCTATAGTCCCAGCTACTTGGGAGGCTGAGGCAAGAGAATCGCTTAAGCCTGAGAGTTTCAAGTTGCTGTGAGCTGTGACGTCACCGTACTCTACCAACATAGGGCAACACAGTGAGACTCTGTCTCAAAAAAAATAATAAAAAATAAAAAACAGTATCACCTGGGAAGGAACCTTCACCCACACATAGAGTTGAACAAGGGGTGAGGCTGACAGGGATGGGAGAGAGAGGGCACATACGGTATGTTGTAGCTGGCCCAGTAGGTCTTCTGGTAGAGTTCCGCGGTCTTGTCTGCCACCACCACCAGACCCCTGGCACCCAGAAGAAATGAGGCAGAGGTGGTCAGAAAAGGAGCTACCGTGAGCACTGCCCTGTGCAAGATCCCCTGATGGCTCGCCATTGCCTGAGGTATTAATAATGTCCTGAACCTTCAGCTCCAGCCAGGCACGGCTTTCCCTCCTAGACGCTCTTTCCTTAGATTCCTTCTTCCATTCCCACATGGCCCCAGCCCGGCCCCAGGCCTTTGCCTAGATGGTTCCTTCTGCCCAGAGCACCCTGCCCCTCTTTCCCAGGGTACTCACGGGATCTGCTCCAGGACGGTAAGCACCTTGCTCCCTGGGCTGGGCCCGCCGGGAATAAATGCCTTGTAGTCCACAATCATCCACTGGTTGTTGTACCTGGCATGCCCAAGGAACCAGGACTGAACAGAGCTGGATACACTACCCGAGCCTCCCTCGGCCCCCACGGCCCCACACAGCCCCACAGGGGCAGAGGGTTGGGGGTATTCAGCCATTCAACTGTCACCCTGACATTGCATCTTGGCCAGGTACCTGCAAACTCCTCTCTCATAATGCTGCTGGCCTATTCCAGAATATGCTATGGAACCCTGGTGCTTATCAGGACAAAGGTCAGTTCCTCTGACAGACATTCTAAGACCCTGCACCCAAATGTCTCTGGCTCACAGGCACTGCCACCCACCCACAGCCCCCACCCCAGTATGTGCAGAGCCCTGGAGTTCCAACTTCTTTTCCTGTCCCACTTCCAAGGAGCCCCCTTCCTGGGCTGAGCAGCATGCACTAGAGGCACAAATCTTTTTGCTCCTAGAGGTCCAGTTTCCTCATATATAAAATGAGGGAGGGGACGTGAGGACTCCTTCCAACTCTGGTGAAGATCCACGAGAGGGCTCTGCAGAGGGTATGGGGGCTGTGACCCTAGTGGTGCCACACTGGGTCCACATTGAGTCCCCTAGGACCTGAGTGTTAAGGGGAAGGTTGGTCTATTGCAGGGGGCAGGAGCCCACTCACGTGCCACTGTTGAACCTCTTGAAGACGTCTGCCCAGGTGGCCCCGTCCAAGGCCAGACGGTTGGCCACGACATTGCGCACCCACTCTAATACACAGCCCCTGGGCTGCACATACTTCCACAGGACCGGGTTCTTGTTGCCAATGGTGGTTTCCAGAGTTACCTGTGTGAGTCAAGGGGTTACTGCACAACCTGGGCACACTGTCACCAAGTGGCAGCGCTGCATCAGGCTTCTAAGTTGATTAGTGAACAGTTTTTTTAAAACTCATATCCCAGTTTAGGTCCATGTTCCTCACTGGTTCCCTGGATCAGCACTGAGGAATTTAGGATCGAGCCTCCACCCAGCTCTGCCCAGGGACCAGCCCCTGAGGCAGCCGTAAGTTGTACAAGTTGGCCAACAGTTTCCCTAGAAAGACAGAATCCCACCCCAGTCCTTCCCTATGCTTCTGTAGACAGTCAGGTAGCTTCATGCTGTCCGCTTGGCAGACACTGCGGCCAGGGGCCTGAGAGACTCTGCGACAGGAGGAAGAGGCCTCATCCTGTCTCCTCTAGTCTTGGAGCAGATGAGACCCCCACTGTTGCCTACAATTCCTCCTGCCCCTTCTCCATCTCCTCCTACGTCCCTTGTCTATCTTCAGCATACTCTATAAACAAAGCCTTGCTTGTTAAAAACAACAAAACTCATGTCAACAGCCAAGACAACTTTGTGGAACTTTGTTTTCTCTAGTCCATATTAGGAATATAGAGGTTCTAAATATAAAATTCTCCAATATTCTGAATCTCTGTGCCTCCAGAAATGCTAACATGCTTTTCCATGATGTACACTGATCCCTACACCTGGTGGAGAATCAGTAGTCTGATTTTAAAAGATGTGCACCAGGGCTAGGCACAGTGGCTCACACCTGTAATCCCAGCATTCTGGGAGGCCAAGGTAGGAGCATCCCTTGAGCTCAGAAGTTCAAGACCAGCCTGAACAAGAGCAAGACGCCATCTCTACTAAACATAGAAAAAATAACCAGGCCTTGTGGTGGGTGCCTGTAGTCCCGGCTACTTAGGAGGCTGAGCAGGAGGATAGCTTGAGCCCAGGAGTTTGAGGTTTCTATGAGCTATTATACCATGGCACTCTACCCAGGGCACAGAGTAAGACTCTGTCTCAAAAAAAAAAAAAAAAAAGTGTTCACTAGGCACAGTTAGCTTCAAATAACAATGCCAGCCATCCTTACCCACGTAACCAGTCAGGTTTTCCTAGTGTAGGAAGAGTTTGCACAAACACAATCTCAATTAGCTTTTATAACCCTCCTGGGAAAAACATAGCACAAATACTGATGTCCCTTCCAACTGACAGGGAAACTGAGATGGGAAGAAGTCAAAAACTTGCCAGAGGTCATAGCTGCTATGTGGAAAGGGGCAAGATTCGATCCCAAACTTCCAACTCTTAAATCAGTGTTTGTTCCCCGCTCTGTGGCAGGATGTTTATTATCCTGTTTCCTCCTTTTTTATACAAAGCAGCTGAAAACAGCTAAGAGAGAGCAGCATGCATAAGTGTGATTTTTTTTTTTTTAAAGAGGACACTTAGAAAGCAAGCCTTTCAGTAATCATGCCCAGGTTCGAACAGTTTCTTCTACTTCCTGTACCTTGTATCTAAATCAGCTTCTCTTCACATCAAAGCCATTGGCAGGATCAGACCAGCACAGCCTCAAAAGCCTCCAGGGACTCAAGTCTCTAACCTGGGGCAGGACTCAGGGAGTCTATAAACTTGGGTGGAAAAAAAGTCACATCTTTATTTGCACTAACATCAAACTGAAATTGAGCATTTCCTTCCTCCGCTAACATCTTACACTACATGGCATTAGCAGTACCGGAGACTGTCACTAATAGAAACCACAGGGCTGTGTGTATTTCAAAATATCATTTATGCTTCTTTCCGCTTCCAAATTATGGTAGTTACCACATTCGCTGCCACTATACAATGTGTTAATAAAGCAGCACATATACTTTTGAAGTTTATTTATATCATTATTATGATAATCACATTTCAATGTAACTGGTTTCTTGTATAATCCTACGTATTTCAGCTTATGCATTTACAAACTCTGTTCTGAGAAGGGGGTCACTCGTCTCCCAGGCTGCCAAAGGGGTCCGTGGCACCTTAGGGACCTGGATGGAAGAGATGTTTCCTGCCCTGACCCTTTCCAGGTAACCGGATGAAACTCCAACTGCCTCTCCCTTTCCCCACTCAGGCCACAGTGCGCGGGTCCTTCACCCACTGCCTGACCCTCTCACGTCTCGTTCCATACTTAGAAAAAAATGGCCAGCACTTTGGGCAGATCACTTGAGGCCAGTTGAAGACCAGCTTGGGCAACATAGCAAGTACCCCATTTCTACAAAAACAATACAAATTAGCTGGGTATGGTGGCACATGCCTACTACAGTCTGATCATCTTGGGAGGCTGAAGCAGAAGGACTGCTTGAGCCCTGGAATTTGAGATTGCAGTGAGCTAGGATCACCCCACTGCACTCCAGCCTGGGTAACAGAGTGAGAACCTGTCTTAAAGAAAGGAAGGAAAAAGTGATAGTACAGACAAGAAGAGTCCCTTCCCTCCGAGACCCCCAGGGAGCTGGCCTTCTCTCCCAAGGGTATTTTTTAAAGTGATGTTTTTCTCCCTTGCAGCGTTGCCCTGGAGATCACGGGGCTCGCTGCCTTGGCTATGGGTGCCAGGAACAGATTTCTAAAGGAGCTTGGACCCCAGCCAGGAAAAACGATAAAGACAACATATCGTAAACAACCTCTATTCAGAAAACCTGGCCAGGTCAGCGGATTCTGGGGAAAGCAGGATGGAAGGCAGAGAGAAGGGAGATTTATCCTGAATACATAAAAACAAAATGAGGCCACTGAGGTCAAGAATGTCCCCAAAGGTCCCCAGATCAGTGATACTATGCAGAGTCCCAGGACAGCCATAGGTTTTAGAGGCCCCATTTGGGAACTGGGAATCTGCATTTCAGCAGAACTTTGTGGTGGTCCAAGTCCCAGGGCAGGGGAAGGATGAGCCTGGGCCCAGGATGGCAGATGAAAACAGCATCCACCGTTTTTCTCCACTATGCCTCCAGCTCCTGCCCAGCACCCAGCACCAGACTACCGCCTAGTTGCTGCTGGTCCAGTGGGGCTGGGAGAGAAACAGCTCCAGGGACAGAGGAGACAGGAGAGGGGACTCACCAGCCTGCTGCCCAGGATGTAGAAGTCATCGCCGGAGAAGATGGTGCCTGGGTAGGACGAGAAGACCACCTTGTTGCCGGGAACCAAGGGGTTGTCTTCTGTGGGAGGAGAGTGAGTCCAGGGTGAGGATCAGACAGGTCCCATGAGGCCCCTAAGCCCCACCCAGCAAGACGTGGGTTTCCAGATGGGGAAAGGCAGGCCTCAGGGGAAGCCCCCAATCAAACCTGTCATTTAGCAAATGAGCTCATTTGACATCTCAATGTGTGTGTGTTAAAATAAAACCTGGTACACTTAGGGAGGCTGAGGTAGGAGGACTGCTTGAGGCCAAGAGTTCAAAATTAGCTTAGATAACATAGCAGGACCTTCTTTTTAAATAAATGAATAAGTAGATTAAAAACAGATGAATAAAGATAAATAGATGCATGGATAAATAGGAATTCTCTATACATCTATATGCATCTGTTCAATGTATCTATAAACCTAAAACTTTTCTCAAAACTAAAGCCTATTAATTTTATTTTATTTTGGCTCGGCGCCTATAGCTCAACCGGCTAAGGCGCCAGCCACGTACACCTAAGGTGGCGGTTCGAATCCCCAGCCCGGACCTGCCAAACAACAATGATGGCTGCAACCAAAAAACAGCCGGGCGTTGTGGCGGGCGCCTGTGGTCCCAGCTACTTGGGAGGAGGAGGCAGGAGACTCGCTTGAGCCCAGGAGTTGGAGGTTGCTATGAGCTGTGATGCCATGGCACTGTACCCAGGGGGACAGCTTGAGGCTCTGTCTCAAAAAAAAAAAAAAAAAAAAAATTTTATTTTATTTTATTTTTATTGCTGCCCTTTCTTTTATTTCACTTTGCTGCCCTTGGTAAAGTGCCGTGGTGTCATAGCTCACAGCAAATTCAAACTCTTGGGCTTAAGTGATTCTCTTGCCCTAGTCTCCTGAGTAGCTGGGACTATATTGGGCCCACCTCCATGTCCAGCTATTTTTAGAGATGAGGTCTCACTCTGGCTCAGGCTGGTCTCGAACTCATTCAGGCAATCCACCTGCCTCAGCCTCCCAGAATGCTAGGATTACAGGAGTGAACCACCACACCTGGTCTATTAATTTTATTAAAATGTATATATGTATACACACACACACATATAAACGCATCCAAGACAAGGTAGATTGGCTCACACCTATAGTTGCAGCTACACAGGAGGCTAAAGTGGGAGGATCACTTGAGTCCAGGAGTTTGAGACCAGCCTGGGCAATATAGCGAGGTGCAATCTCTAAAAAAAAATAAATAAATGCACTCAAAAAGTCTAGATGGATCCAAACCAACATGGCAATAGGATCTAGGGAGATGTGCTTCTCCATCCATGTGGCTGGAATCTGTTGCAGTGAGAATATACTTCTGTGTTACTCATGTAATAAAGATAAATTAAATGAAAGAGAAAATGGAGGTACAGTTTTTAAAAGCCTAGAAGAAAATATAACTGAACATTTGCAGACATTTTCTCTTGCAAGCTGTAGAGTAGCCGAGCGATTCTCGTTGTGTGCGTGTGCGCATTTTGGTGGATTTCCCAGTGTTCTGTAATATACATGTATGACTTATATTTTGAATGGATATATGGCAATGAGAATGAGAGATTTACAACTACACACAGTACCAGGGGTTAATCCCACAGCCATGTGGAATGGAAGAAGCCAGACACCAATGAGCACATCCCGTTCTGACTCCATTCATTTAACAAATTCAAAAACAGGCAAACTTCGTCTACACTGTGAGAAATAAGGACAGAGGTTACACTGAGGTGGGGGCAATGCTCGGGAAGGGAACACGAGAGAAGCTTTTCAGGCTGGGGATGTTCCATTTCTCTCTCCAGCTGGACTATACATACAAGAGTTGGCTGAGCAAAAAATTTAAGTTGTACATGTATGATGTGTACACTTTCCCAGGTAACTGTCAATTTTGAATTTACTTAAATGAATGGACATTACCTGTCATGTGTAAATTATATACCCTGATGGTTTGTACCCTTATATTAATCTGAAATTTTTAAAAAATGAAAAAATAATAAATACATAAATAAATGGCCACTAAGCTGTTACCAGACCACCATGGCAGTGGTTCCATGTACACATTCCCTGTGCAGAAACTGAAATGTCTCTCTAGGGGCAGATTTAAGTCCGAGAATTGCTGGATCAGTGGAGTGACAGTTTTGAATTTTTGTAGGTACCGGCTGGGCTCCTCTTAAAAGTGGTCGTGCCAACTTGCCCTCCAAGAGTAGTGAATAAGGCTGTATGCGTCTACACCTCCTCACCACCTCCTGGCATCATCGATGCTTACATCTGGCCAAGAAGGAGGCACTCAGTCACCTATCTGGCAGTGGTACCCCTCGGATAGATGCTGGGGCCGGGAATGGGGTGCAGCTCCCTAAGGGGATTGGCAAAGGTTTCACATGCGACAGAAGAACGCATTTTTGCCTTCCTAGAGCAGTTGGTTGATTGCGAAAATGGCTATAATTCTTCCTGTGCCTGTATCCACCCATGCCACGTGCACTGTGACTTGGCAGCTCCTCCCATCACATGGTGGGGTCTGCTCCCCTACCTCTTGAATCTGGGCTGGCCACTTGACTTACTGTGCATAACAGAATGCTGTGCCAGTTTCAACCAGGCCTCAAGAGGCCTTCTGCACCCCCCTGCACAGACGCCATATGAACAAGACTGGGCTTGCCTGCTAGAGATGAAAGACCAGGCACGTGAATGAGACCTGCTGGCACACTGTAGATGCATCAGGGAGCCCAGCCAAGATCAGCCTATCCTGGCCCTGAACAGCAAACCACCCAGCAGGAGCAAAAAATAAATGCTTGTTTTAGAGGTTGTTGTGATTGGTTATGTAGCACTAGCTAACTGATATACTTTATAAAATAAAAACTTGAAAAAGAAATAAATATGCTAAAAACAAATGAACCTTGGAAGGGCCCTATAGGGACCTCTGTATGTAAGGGGTGAGGGATGCAGCACTCCAGGACTCCATCTCCACCTGTGTGTCCCCCACACCTGCCTACCCTGGGGACCTTCCCGGAACTGGAACCAGTACTTCTTGATGATGCGCAGCATTTGCTGGTAGCTGCTCCAGGTGTTGTGGGCGACCAGGAGGTCACTCTGGCCAGGCAGCAGCTTGATGAGGGCAGAGCAGGAGCCTGATCCCAGGGAAGCCTTGGTCTTTGTCTTATTCAGGGCTGGCTCCAGGTCTTCCAGGTCCCCAGAGATCTGCAGCAGGCTGAGGAGGGCCAGGGTAATGAAGGATTACTGTGCCTGCTATGGGTGCCATTACATACCCATTTTATAGAGGAGAAGGCTGAGGCTCAAAGACTAGCTGACTTGTCCAAGGCCGTGTAACCAGGAAGTGGCAAAGCTGGCACTGGACCCCAGGTCTTCCTACTATGAAGTGTGTGGCCCTTTCCCCCACCCTGTCCACTCTGAGGATGGCACTTACAGGAACCCCAAGGGTTTGATGGTAAATTTCCCAGGTGGGAAATTCACACGGCCTTCGTAGCTATCCTCCAGGCCTTTCAGCTGCAGGAGGGTCAGCCGCACCTATGGGAGGGAGCAGGGGCAGAGGGAGGGTCAGGCCTCTACCCCAGGCTCAGGCCTTCTCCTTCAATGGGACAGGTTCTGGTCTGGGGGCTCAGACAGAGCAAGAGACCCACAGGGGCACTCCACAGGCTCCAGCCAGACCTGATGCCACCAACCACCACTCACCCCTCTGTCCTGAACACTTTCCTGCTTTCAATAAGTTAACTCTATATCCTCATCCTACATGGACCCCAAACCGCCCCCACTTGAGAGCCTACTTCAAAGGCCATCTCCTCCAGGGAGCTTCCCAGCTTGGCCTGGCCCCTTACCAACTGCTTCTTATTCTGACTTTAGTTCCTGGCTCAGGAACCTGCCTCAGGCATCTGCCTTCTCCCCACTGTCACTGCTTTGTCTCAACACCTTGTACCCACAGAGCATCAGCTCTGGGTCCTTCACAAGGCTTTGGCCTGTGCTGGGCACATACGGGGCACTTAGTAAATATCTGCAAGAAGATAAACAGGTGGGCGGATGGAGAGACAAGAAGGACAGACAGATGGATGGGTCGGTGCCGGGTTAAATATGCAGGAGAAGGAAGGGATAGAGAAGCTATCGCCTACACGAATGGGAGGGAGGAACAGGTGTCCAGCTGCAGGCATGGGATGGATAAACAGACAAGATGGATTCATTCCTTTATCTATAAATACTGAACAGGTTTTCTTTGTAAAGCACCTACTATGTACCAGACTGGGGACAACACAGTGAACAAAGCAGACATGGTCCTTGCCTTTTCCTCCTGGGGCTCAGAGTTGAGTTGAAAAGATAAGACCCTGAATTCCTCCCTAGAGTTTCTCCTTTCAATGCTACCAAGAAATGCAGGGATAGGACGCTGAGGTGAGGGATGTGGAGAGTCAGCCAGGGAACGGGGAAGAGGAGTGTTCCTGGCAGCAGGAGCAGGTGTGCAAAGGAGGTGAGTCATCTCACGCAAGGCACCGGAAGGTCAGGGAGGCAGGAGAAGAGAGAGCGAGGGGTACGTGGAGATGAAGCCAGGGAGGGAGAGGTAGATGGAGGTGCTGAGGCCACAGGGAGGAGGATGGGCTTCATCCTGGGAGCACTAAGTAGCCCTGAGAAGATTTAAGACAGGGAGAGACAGAGCAGATGTGATGGAGCAACAAACAGACATGAGGTGCCCAGACAACTGGGGGGAGCTGGGGAATGAAGACAATGGGGGCAGGCAGACAGCTGTACGGGCAGGTCAATGGACAGACAGGTGGAGACTGGAAAGAAGGACAACTGGCAGGTTAGCTAGGAGGGACAGAGGTAATAATGGATACAGGGCAAGCTGTGCAGCTAGACAGGCTGCAGGGCTGGCCAGGAGCACAGGAGACAGGACTCCTGGCCCACTGGAGGCCTAGCCATTTGGTGGTAACCTGACCTCCCCACTGGCCCTGTGGAGTATAGCAGCCGGACCCACCTGGTGCCAGTAGGTGGAGTCCGCGTTCCGCTCCATCTCTTCCTCCATCCATGCCAGGTTGGCCTCCAGGAAGCTCTTGAGCTTCTCGCAGTAGCCAACCTCATACTCGAAGGGGCCGCAGTAGTTCACCACTGTGTTCATCCAGTGCATGTAGATGAGCTGCAGGGAGGGCAGGTGGGCAGGGCAGGGGAAGGGGACTGCTGCCCTCTGCCCCGAAAGAGCGCACCTAGGCCTTGAAAGAGCGGAGGGCTTCTCTCTCCCCACCAGAACCCCGTGCCTAAGTCTCCTTTCTCTGAAAACCTCCAGCATGCAAAGCCTGAATGTCCTAGACTGCGGCCCTCTGTCTCTAGGTACCCCAATCTGTGCTGTCAGTCAGTCAATCAACAAATTTCTTTTCTTTTTTTTTGTTTTTGAGACAGAGTCTCACTATGTTGCCCTGGGTAGAGTGCCATAGTGTCATAGCTCACAGCAACCTCAAACTCTTGGGCTTAAGCGATTCTCCTGCCTCAACCTCCCAGGTAGCTGGGACTATAGGCATCTGCCACAACGCCTGGCTATTTTTTGTTGCAGTCGTCATTGTTGTTTAGCTGGACTGGGCGGGTTTTGAACCCGCCAGCCTTGGTGTATGTTGCTGGCACCATAACCACTGTGCTATGGGCACCAAGTCAATTTTTTTTTTTTCAGACAGAGTCCTACTATGTCACCTTGGGTAAAGTACCATGGAGTCACAGCTCACAGCAACCTCAGACTCCAGGCTCAAGCGATTCTCTTGCCTCAGCCTCCCAAGTAGCTGGGACTGCAGGCACCCACAACAATGCCCAGCTATTTTTAGAGATGAGATCTCACTCTGGCTCAGGCTGGTCTCAAATCTGTGAGCTCAAGTGATCCCCCCACCTCAGCCTCCCAGAGGGCTGGGATTACAGGCGTGAGCCACTGCGTCTGGCCCAAGCATCTATTATTTTCTGTTCTGAGAACTGAGGACAGTTCCACCCAGATCTCAAGAGGCCTTCAGCACTTCTGGCCCAGATGTCATGTGAATAAGCCTGGGCTCACCTGCTGGGGATGAAAGAGTACGTAGGGCATTTGTCCCCAGGAAGCCAGTCTGAGACACATGAACTCGGCTGTCCTAGGCCAGCCGGCCTGACCCAGCTGATCTTCCTGTGCACTGCAGAAGCACCCGTGAGCCCAGCCAAGATCAGCCTGCCTGGCCCAGAACAGCAAACCACCTGGCTGACACTCCAGTAGGAGAAGAGCTGGCTGATCCCTTTGCTGTATGGAGGAGTAGCCAGAAGCCTGTAGCTGGTGTTATGGAGCACCCTTTTATGGTAAAGTGTGACATGTTCAAACCTTACTACGACTCTGTAAGGAAGGTATAATAATTATCATCCCTACCTCATATCACGGAGTTGAGGAAACCAAGGCATAGGTCAGTGGATAATTTTCCTGAGGTCACCCAGGTAGTGAATCAAAGAGCCAAGAACCCGTATAAAAATGTGGATATAATTACCCAAAGCACTGACCTCACTGGGCAAAGATTGGGGGTAACTTCTGGCCACACCCCCTATCCCACTGCAGTTATTCCCAAGCTGCATGGGTTACCCAGGATCAACAGCTCAGTGACCCCTGCTCTACTGCCATCTTGCCAGAACACATCCAAATTCTACTTGTCCCTCAAGCTCTTCCTCCATGCAGCCTTCTGTGACCTCCACAGTGTCTGCCCAGTGCCTATCATATCCCAGTCTCTGGGCGGGCTCATGGGACACAGTGGGAGTAGGGAGGATAAGACACCATCACTGCCCACAAGAAGCCCACAGGGGGAGATGCCAGAGCAAACCAGTTAGGAGAAGAGACTTGGGTTGGACAAAGCCTCCTCTGCTGAGAAGCTGTTTGACCTTGGGTAGGTGACTTCACTTCTCTAGGCCTGAGTCTGTTCATCTGTCCAGGTGAGGTGGTTACAATTCCCTCAGGGGGCTGCTGTAGGGGCTCAAGGAGACAACTGGGCCAGGCATGGGGGCTTGGGACTCCTTACACAGCAGCTATTCCTGGCCTTGCCTCAGTGTCCCCCAGTAGGGAGTGAACCCCTGGGGAGATCAGTTGAGTCTCATTACCCACTGAGCACCCAAACAGCCTTAGCCCAGCACCTAAATACTTCCCTAGACACCAAGGGTCCCAGGAGGCCATCCAAAACCACAGCTGGCTGTCAGAGGGGCAGTGTGAGTTTTATAACAAGGTATCCTGCTGGATGCTGCCCTCCGTGACGTTCTTCTGTCTTTTTGTTGTTGTTGTTTTGTTTTGGTGCTCTATGGTCCTCCACTGTACACCCTGACCTAATTACCCAGCTATCTGCTGGGGGCATTGTATGTGCTCCTACTTAGTGGCTGCTGTGAACACCTTATGCATGTCTCTGGGTCACCTCCAGGGTACACACCCAAGCAGTGGGGCCATGAGTCCTAGGGCACGTGCAAGTTCAACTCTACAAGTTAAAGCCACCTCCCTCCACAGCATAGGAGATGGCCGTCATCCATAGCCTCCCTTCTGATACTGTCTGACTTCTTAAACGGATAATTATCACTTTAATAAAACTCAAAATCAAGTAAAACAAAATTGTGATGTTCAGAGATTCATCGCACGTAGCAAAGCCAGTTTAACAAAAGTAAAGGAGTGCATACAACTCCCGTGTCCATCCACTGAAGACCAGAAAAACAAAATGTGCTGTGTCCGTACAACAGAATATTATCCAGCAACGAAAAGGAATTAGGTGCTGACACGCGCCACGACGTGGATAAATTGTGAAAACATGCTAAGTGGAGAAAAGCTAGTCGTAAAAGGGCATACCGCGTACGATTCCGTTTACGTGAAATATCAGAATAGGCCAATCCAGAGAGACAGGGGCTGGTGGAAGGGGAACAGGGAGGGACTGCTAATAAATCTGGGGTTTCCTTCTGGGGTGACAAAAATGTTTTGGAATTAGAGGCGATGGTTGCACAACTTTACGAATATACTAAAAACCGCTGAATTGTACGTTTTTAATTTTATTGAATGTGACTTACATATCTCAATAAAAATGAATGAATGAAAGGAGATGATAGCTATCACATTTAGGGTGGTGGGTGCCTCTGGGGGACAGAGGAACCAAGGGGTTGTGGGTGTTAAATGGTATTGGTAACATTCCAGATTTTAGTTAGGGTACTCACTTTATTATTATGCTTCATAACTCAGAATATGCTATGTGGTATTATATTCTAAGTATTCAAGTAGTACCCAGTATAATTTTTTTTTCTTTTTTTACAGATAGAGTCTCACTTTATTGCCCTCAGTAGAGTGCCGTGGCATCACACAGCTCACAGCAACCTCCAACTCCTGGGCTTAGGCGATTCTCTTGCCTCAGCCTCCCAAGTAGCTGGGACTATAGGCACCTGCTGCAACGCCCAGCTATTTTTTTTTTTTTTTTTGAGCAGAGGCTCAAGCTGTTGCCCTGGGTAGAGTGCCATGGCATCACAGCTCACAGCAACCTCCAACTCCTGGGCTCAAGCTATTCTCCTACCTCCACCTCCCAAGTAGCTGGGACTACAGGCACCTACCACAATGCCCTGCTATTTTTTTGTTGCAGCCTTCATTGTTGTTTGGTGGGCCCAGGCTGGATTCGAACCCGCCAGCTCAGATGTATGTGGCTGGCGCCTTAGCCGCTTGAGCCACAGGTGCGAAGCCCCGGCTATTTTTTTGTTATTGTTATTGCAGTTTGGCTGGGGCCGGGTTTGAACCCGCCACCCTCAGTATATAGCTCCAGTGCCCTACCCACTAAGCCACAGGTGCTACCCTCACAGGGAGTTTCTTATGCAAATAGCCCAAAGCCTGGATCTGGGCCATTATGAACAAGAATGAAGATGGTATATTTTATTTTGTGATTTCTCCCACAGCTAGGCTTTATACACAACTGTTATTTCAGATTCTTTTTTTTTTTTTTTCGAGACAGAGTGTCATTACGTCGCCCTCAGTAGAGTGCCATGGCGTCACAGCTAACAGCAACTTCAAACTCTTGGGCTCAAGATTCTCTTGCCTCAGCCTCCCAAGTAGCTGGGACTACAGGCACTTGCCACAACGCCCAGCTATTTTTTTGTTGCAGTTTGGCGGGGCTGGGTTCAAACCTGCCACCCTCAGTATATGGGGCCGGTGCCCTACCTACTGAGCCACAGGCACCGCCCTAATATAATTTTTTTAAAGAATGCATGTGACCTTTTTTCTCTCCAGCTAGACGGAGGATAGAGGGCATGGGTGGGAGGACTTACTCTGTTGATAACTCAAAACCCCAAAAGCACCCTGGGGACACCTGGGAGTAGGGCAGGCTGGAAGCCCTAGGATCCCACCTTGGCCCTTACCTCCTCAGACACGGCAGCCTCCACCACACCGGCTGCGTAGGCCTGCAGGCTGTCATTGTAGCTGCCATTGGTGCCCAACTCCAGAAAGGCCCACCTGGATGGGGGAAAGAGGGGACAATCAGTCAGTGACAGGGGCCCCAAGTAGACACATAGCTATCTCCACTATTGACATGGTAGTCAACAGCTACTCATGTGTCTATCTGTCTGTCTGTCTTTGTATACTACCTGGGCTAAATCCCTTAAAGAGGAACTGCTGGGTCAAAGGACACGTGCATTTTAAATTTTAACAGAGATTGACAAATAGCCCCTCCAAAAAAGCTTACCCCCTCTACATTCTCTCTCAAGAATTCTCACACACGGATGGTGCCTGTGGCTCAGTGGATAGGGCGCCAGCCCCATTTACCCAGAGTTCAAACCAAGCCCTGGCCAAACTGCAACAAAAAATAGCCGGTGTGGCAGGTGCCTGTGGTCCCAGCTACTCGGGAGGCTGAGGCAGGAGAATCGCCTAAGCCCGGGAGTTGGAGGTTGCTGTTAGCTGTGACGCCATGGCACTCTACCAAGGGCAATAAAGTGAGACTCTGTCTCTACAAAAAAAAAAAAAAAGAATTCTCACCCACAAGAATACCAGCTAACATCAATCAAGGGCCTCCACTGGGCTAGGTAATGCTCTAGTCACTTTCATGTCTGCTAACTCATCAAACCCTCATGAGAATCCCACAATCCTATGAGGTAGACAGTGTTATTATCCCTCTTGTATGGAAAAGGAGGAAATTAAAACACAGAGTTACATCCCTCCTGTGGTGGACTGCCACTCCCACCCCCACATTCATGTCCTGTGCTGTGTGACTCTGCAATTCTTTCACCAACGGCCAAGCATCCTCCCTTCCCTCCCCCATGATTTGGGCTCGGTCATGCTCTGACCGATGGATGTGGGTAGAAGTGAGAGTAAGCCAGTTACAAGATCAGCCTTTGGGAGGCCTTCTGTGTTTCTCCCTGGCCTTTTGTGCCTCCACCATTGCCATGCAAGGAACATGCCCCGACCAGCCCACTCCTGGCAGGAATTTGAGAGCCACACAGGGCAGATCAGGTTGCAGCGGGATGCAGAGCTGCCCAGCCAGCCTACAGGTCCATGAGGATCAATGCTGCTGGTTTAATCCACTGGGTTTGGGGCTGATATATATCCAGGTCACCTGAAGACCTTGTCAGGAGCTAGCCTCCAATCAGGAAGGCTGCCATGGGGTCAGAGAGTGCATTTTCTAAGTAGCCACCAGGTAATGCCACTGCTGTCAGTCCTAGAACTTTACAGGGTACAGTCTGCCTTGCTCTCCCCAATAAGTAAATGCCAGTTTGCCCACTCCCTCACTTACAGTGAGTCCTAGCAAACTGTTTCATCTTCACCAAGGTGACAGTTGAAAAACTATGCATCGTGTTGTTTTAATGAGCTGTGAATCTTTAATTAGTTTAGTTACTTTTTGTTTCTTATTTTTATCAGGCACTTATAGTTCATATCCTTCACCTATTTTTTTGCTCTTCAGTTTTTAAACAAATCTTTTCTCACTGGCTGCTGAAATTCTACATGATGAATGATTCAAAAACCTCATAAGGAAAACAAACAAACAAACAAACCTCATGAGGGCAAAGAAGAGGGCAGAGAAACAGATGACACAGCAAGGTAACTACTAGGATGAGAAAAGGAATAAAGTGCCACGGGGGGTGGGGGGGGAGGCCTTAGTAGGTGTGCTGCTGCTGTTACTTGACTAAAATCAATGAAGCCTTCACAGAAGAGGTGACAACTATGCTGGGTTTTGAAGTTTACATAGGAGCTTTCTAGGTGGACAGAAGAGAGAACGTAAAAGAAGGAAGCCTGAGTCCTGAATGTCCCAAAGCGAAGACCACTGGGGCCAGCAGGATGGAGCTGTGGGGATCTGTGGTGAAGCTCTGCTATGGGAGATGATGACGGCCCCCAGGCACTGTGCTAAGCATGTCACATGTTTACTTATCTCTCTGAATTCCTCCAAATACCCTATGATAGAGGTTTTAGTCTCCCTCCTTTACAGATATGGGAATTGAGGCTCAGATAAGTGAAGTCACTTGTCTGAGGTCACACACAAAGGGAGTAGCAGAGCTAAGACTAATATTATGGAGTACACGCTCTCAGCCTCTAATTTAACTCAGTTTTGTATTTTTACGGGGAGAGAGCATAGTTCTTATCGGATAAAGGCGAGAGCCATGAACTTCAAACTAATGACTCAAAAATGATCATAGATAAGGACAGAAAAACATAAGCAAAAGGAATGAAGATTCCAAATTTCAAGCACAGTGGAGGACAAAGGGAGTGTGGACTTGTGGGTAGCTCAGACTTGGTTTGAACTCCCAGGTATAAGCCTTTGTTGGCTGTGTACCTTTGGGTAAATTACCTAATCTCTTTGGGACTCAGCTTCCTACTCTGGTAATGGGCACAGTGACTCCCATTTTAGAGGTTTGCTAGGACAAGGGCCAGGAGATAACATACATTATACACTCACTAAATATTTGTCTCATCAAGAATCTGAGCGAGGGCTAGGGGAGGTGGCTCATGCATGTAATCCTAGCATTCTGGTAGGCCGAGGTGGGTGGATTGCCTGAGACCACCCTGAGCCAAGAGCGAGACCTTGTCTCTAAAAATAGTTGGGCGTTGGGGCAGGTACCTGCAGTACCAGCTACTTAGGAAGCTGAGACAAGACAATTGCTCCAGCCTAAGAGTTTGAGGTTGCTGAGAGCTATGATGCCCACAGCACTCTACTGAGGCTGACGAAGTAACACTGTCTTAAAAAAAAAAATCTGGCTCGGCACCTATAGCTCAACCAGCTAAGGCGCCAGCCACGTACACCTAAGGTGGTGGGTTCGAATCCCCAGCCCGGACCCGCCAAACAACAATGACGGC